TATACATACATATATACATATATGTATGTATGTATATATAAATATACATACATATATACATATATATGTATGTATATATATATATATATACTGACAAAATATAAACAAATATAACTTTAATCTTGGTTCAACGTCTTCAGCTCATAAAAACAATACAGCTGTAGATTCTTCCGTTTCTTCTGATGCTCAAAAGATGTTCAAACCATGGACCCCAGGACTATTCTAGGACAGGGTCAGAGGTCAGGGACCGACCCGTCACCCCCGACCCCTGGGCTAAATTCAAACTTTGATGAAACATGTTTTGCCTGAAGTTATCCAGACTTCCAGATATTGTTCCGTTCACTATTTTGACAACAAATCTGGCAACAAATTCAGTTTTTTCATAAATAAAATACTATTATAGATTATTTAGAAAAAAAACCACAAACCTCTCAGGACAATTTTAGAATTGGATATAAATCATCGGGGATATGAAATATAATACAGTAATAACATTAATAATAATGACGGTGATAATTAGCCGTGTCAACTCTGACTGTGTTTCCTTTCCGTCTAATCAGAGTCCCCTTCCTTCGTCTTAGTGTCGGTGTCACATGTCACCTCATTTGTCTCGTCGTCTTCTTCCTTGTAAAAAAAAAATCAAAAGAAGAATGAGTGACGACGGGAAACGTTGAAATGAAAAACCTAGCCAACAGTCACCACAGCGTTCTCTGTAGCCTAGCCAAAACAAACCAAGGAACATCTACTCTGCTGGAATAACTAATTAATATGTATTTACCGAGTTTGATTACAGAAATACTAAACCTGTGAAGTTTGTATTTGTGTTCGCCGTTTTTCTGTTCCTTTAGAACTCCTGCTATGATTGGCTGCTCCTTCGTGGTAGACCGGGAGTACTTCGGTGAGATCGGTCTGCTTGATCCTGGAATGGAGGTCTACGGAGGGGAGAACATAGAGCTGGGGATGAGGGTGAGACCACATGTTGAGCCACCGTTCATCAGGCCAGGACCCAGTCAGTGTCAGGATGTTTATTAGGTTGTTGGTTTTTTTTTTAACTGTACTTTTTTAGGAGAACATATCAAATATATCTGGGTCATAGTGTACAGATATGGGAATGTATATATATATGCATATATA